TAATAGAAAAACTAAAAAAAGAATTTTCACCATTACACCTAACAAAGTTTACATAGAAAATCAAGTTTCAAGTTCCAGCTTAAAATACAAGAAATAAACATCAAACTCCTGTTGCTTTGTTTTTCCAGTGTCATAAAAAGACTCAATAAAGTATGTTCCTTTAACACAACTCCTAGCAATTTTATGACACCCACTGTAAGGACTTTAGGACTTTATCTTGAAAAATAAAACTAAAAAGTAAGTACTACTTGTATTTCCCAAGTTGACCATGACTTTTCATATCTCCATGACTTTCACTATATTTGACACAGAGAGTTGAAATCATGTTGGAAGATAAGTGGGTAGGAGGGAAGGAAAAAGAGGAAGAACATAGTTGTTTCATTCACTCAACAAATATTTATCAAATGCCTACTGACCAAACTGTTCTAGGTATCTGGAAAACATGGCTAAACAAAAAGGAGAAACACAAATTTATAAAGGATTTCTGTTGCTAGCAGCAACAACTAAGTTACAGCGATAAGATACATGAGCTAGCACTCCTGGATCCCACATACCCATTGATAATGGTTTCCTTCTACTTCTTCCTTTACTATAAAACAACAGAAAACAAACTAAAAACAAAAATTCTCTTGAACATTTTTTCAGAAACTGAAGTAATATATCTGAAGTAAAGAACCCTCTAGGGATGCACTACATATGGTCAAGGATATGGGCATTATTGCTAGAAAGCAGATTAATCTCCTTCTCATGCTGTCATATCATCTCCTCTCTTACTATTGCAAAACATGCAGTGAAAAGCAAGGTCCATGGGGATGGGAGTCTGGAAACAGCAACATGTTCTGAAGATATGGAGGATGGCAGAGGACTCCTATGCAGTAAGAGTATGTTACCACTAAAGAGATAGGGAACAAGATTTGGTTGCAAGACAACAAGAATAGGACACATAAGAGAAGAATGGTTAGCTTCAGAAAAGTAAAGCAGTTATAATTCTTCCAAAGAGGACACTCTTGTAAAGGAAGATTTGTCCCTACTAGGTCTGCTACTCTTGAGCTTTAATTAGTATAATCACAATGCATAATGCAGGTGCATCTGAAAGGCTAGAATCACCATTATGCTATCTGTTAAAACCATCTTTCATAATCAAGTCAACCATAGCTTTCCACAGATACGATGCACTACCATGCCCAGAGTCATCTGCGGTTTTAAAATAATTTTTTTTTTACTCTTTTGTTCAGGCCTATTCCACAAGACACTAAACAGAAGCAAAAATGTTAAGATTCTGAGCAAAATTTAAAAGCTGTTGGAATATGAAAGATTTTCTATCACTTAAATTATTATAATTATTAAGCATGCATAAAAATTATACATTATAATAAAAATAATATGATTATAACAGTAAATAGTGAATGGATAGCTTCAAGACTCTGTGGACTGAATCTGGTCTTTGGAAATAAAAGCATAGAGCAGTCAGCTAAATATTGAATATACATTAAAAAAATCTATAAGAATAAGTATTCAAGCCAACCAAATAAACTATTCCTTTTTCATACTAAAAACAAGATCTTCACTTTTAATACCTTGAAAACAATTTTAGTTCTGCATTAGTCCATTCTTGTAGTGCTATAAGGAAATACATAAGACTAGGTGATTTACAAAAAGAGGCTTAATCGGCTAATTGTTCCACAAGCTGTACAGGAATCCTGGCTAGAGAGACCTCAGGAAACTTTCAGAATGCAGAAGGTGAAGGGAAAGCAGGCACGTCTTACATGACTGGAGCAGGAGGAAGAGAGAAAAGGGGGAGGTACTACCCATTTATAAACAAGCAGATTTCATGAGATCTCACTCACTATCACGAGAACAGCAAGGAGAAAATTCACCCCCATGATCCAATCACCTCCCACCAGGACTCTCCTCCAACACTGGAGATTACAATTTGACATGAGATTTGGGCGGGGACACAAATCCAAAGTGTATCGCTCCACCCTCGGCCCTTCCCAAATCTCATATCCCTTCTCAACAGTGCCCCAAGTCTTAACTCATTTCAGCACTAACTCAAAAGTCCACAGTCCAAAGTCTCATCTGAGACAAGGCAAGACCTTTCTGCCTATGACCCTGTAAAATAAAAAACAAGTTAGTTACTTCCAAGATACAACGAAGGTATAGAATTGGGTAAATACTCCCTTTCCAAAAGGGAGACAGTGATCAAAAGACAGGGTCTACAGGCCCTAGGGCATGTCCAAAACCCAGAAGGGCAGTCATTAAATCTTAGGGGCCCAAAATAATTTCCTTTGACTCCATGTCTCACATCTAGGCAACACTGATGTAAGGGGTGGGCTCCCACAGCCTTGGGCAGCTCTGCCCCTGTTGCCCTGCAGGGGTACTTTCCCTGCAGCTGCTTTCACAGTCTGGCATTGAGTGCCTAAGGCTTTTCCAGGCATATAGTGCAAGTTGGTGGACCTACCATTCTTTGGTCTGGAGGATGGTAGCTCCCTTCTCACAGCCCCACTAGTCAGTGTCCAGTGTGTGGATTCTGTGTGGGGGCTCCAGCCCTACATTTCCTCTCTGCACTGCCCTAGCAGAGGTTCTCCATGAGGGCTGTACCCCTGCAGCAGGCTTCTGTGTGGACATCCAGGCATTTCCATATATCCTCTGAAATCCAGGCAGAAGCTTCCAGGCCTCAACTGTTGTCCTCTGCGACCCACAGGCTTAATACCATGTGGAAGCTGCCAAGACTTATGGGTTCCACCCTCTGGAGCAGTTGACTGAGATGTTATCTGGGACCCTTTTAGCCACAGCTGGAGCTGAAGCAGCTGGGACACAGGGAGCAATGTCCTGAGGCTGTGCAGGGCAGTGGGGCCCTGGGCCTGCCCCACAAAACCATTCTTCCCTCCTATGGCTGCAGGCCTGTGATGGTAGGGGCTGTGGTGAATGGCCCCAAAATGCTTTGAGGCATCTTCCTCATTGTCTTAGGCATTCAGCTCCTCTTTTTTATTTTTTAATATTTTATTATACTTTTGCAAATTTCTACAGCCAGCTTCAATTTCTCCCCAGAAAATGAGTTTTTCTTTTCTATCACATGGTCAGGCTGTAAACTTTCCAAACTATTATGCTCTACTTCCCTTTTAAATATAAGTTCCAGTTTCAGACCATCTCTTTGCAAACACATATGTGTTTTAAAGTTCCACAGATCCCTAGGGCCACAAAGCTGCCAGTCTCTTTCTACAACATGGCAAGAGTGACCTTTACCCTAGTTCCCAGTAAGTTCCTCTTCTCCATCTAAGACCTCCTCAGCCTAGACATTACTATACATATCACTATGAGCATTTGGGTCACAACCATTCAACAAGTCTCTTGGAAATTCCAAGCTTTCCTTCATCTTCCTGTCTTCTTCTGGGCCCTCCAAACTGTTCCAACCTCTGCCCATTATGCAGTTCCAAAGTCGCTTCCACATTTTCAGGTATCTTTATACCAATGTCCATTCACTGGTACAAATTTTCTATATCAATCCAATCTCACAATACTATAAACATCTGAGACTGGGTAATTTATAAAGAAAAAAGATATAGTTGGCTCATGGTTCTGCGGTGCCAGATGAGTTGGTCTCCCTTGTATGAGATACCTATGGGGAGCCAGGGGAGCCTCTGAGGAGAAGAGTCTCCTTATTGCCTTCATATCTTTATGCCCTGAGAGCATAATAGCTCAGCGGCATTCCACAGGTTGCTCAGGGAGATAACACTCCCTTGAAGCAGTGGAGTATAATCAAACATCTTGGCTCCTCCTGAGACCCACTCCCACTTGTTTCAATCCCTATAAGTTAAAGATCTTAAGTAGTTTAGACACACACCTTTGCTCAAGGAAATTCACAGAAACCTGTCACTGCTATATATCTTATTGAATGACTCACGAGTACTCCTTCATTGATTAATCCTTTTCCTCATCGCTTCCTACCCCTCCCATCTGCCCTAAGAACAAAGATCTTGTAAACCAATAAATTAGGCGGAGAAGAGCTCTGGGCCATGAGCAAGCCTCCAATGTTCCGGTCCCCTGAACCCACCTTTTAAATGCTTATTCTGACTCTTTCTAACTCCTTTGTCTCCGCTGAACTCAGGGTACCCGCCAGGTGGTGTGCGGCTGGTTTCCCCAACAGAGGCTGTACAGGAAGCATGGCTGGGGAAGCCTCAGGAAATGTTCAATCATGGTGGAAGATGAAGGGGAAGCAGGAATGTCTTACATGGCCAGAGCAGGAGGAAGAGAGAGAATGGGGAGATGTTACACACTTAAGACCACCAGATCTCATGAGAACTCACTCACTATCATGAGAAGGGAAAGGGGGAAATTTGCACCCATGATCCAATCACCTTCCACCAGGCCCCCTCCTCCAACACTTGAGGTTACAATTCCATATGAGATTTGGGCGGGGACAGAGATCCAAACCAAATTAAGTTCTAATTATAAAATGCATTTATGTAAAAGCAAAACACTCCTATTTGCTTCTATAGAGAGTCACCACTAACCTATGAGTCATTACCTTCCTTTAAATATTCTGTAATGCAAAGTCCACCAATAATTATACCTTTCTGGCTAAAGAATTTTTTAAACACAATATTTAAATAAGAAGATATGACAACCAAAGAAAAAAGACATTTTCAAAAAACCATATATTATTTACAATTTGCATTAGTTTATGCTTCTGTCATAATTTATGAGAATGCACAGAATTAAAACACAGAACTAGATGTATATTGAGAAACAATTTTAGGATGTTTCAAAATTCGAATGAATTCTCATTTTAGAACTCAGACATTTTATATATCACATATAATATATAAGCTCCAACTCTGGTTGGGGGAAAAGGGCAATTTCTATTGACAAAAGATTTACTTTCATTAAGCAAAAACAAGCTTTCCCATTACAGGAGTCAAAGTTATAAGCCAAGTTTCAAAGTGCTGTAGGCAACTTCACATGAGAATATTCCCAAGTAGAATTTATAATTTACATACCTGTACAGATGAATATTTAGAAAAATTTTCCATTTGATACCGCCTAAAATCTTCATTTAGTCTTTGATCTGAAACAAGGGGGAGAACAGATTTCAGTTCATTGAGTAATGTTCAATTCTTTAAAACTAGAAATACAGTAATCATTTGATGTATCCGATGCAAAACGGGCTAGTCTCCACTGCTTCTCAAGAGAATATGAATCATCAATTTCAATACACCATTTTAAAACTTGAAAATAGGCCCTTTTCTATATCTAAGCCAACTAATCACTGCCAAAGTCAAAAAAAAAATAACATCTGCAAAGAACTACCTTTTCTGATTTCATAAACATGAATTCTCAGTCTCTGCTGGCGTGCTCTTCGGGTTAATGAAAGTAAAATATATTCTCCACATCTTATTCCTGCTACAAAAATTGAGAAGCATTGGGAAGATAAGCTATAGTCATATCTTTTAGAATTCTTAAAACCAATTGAAATTTTGAAACTCTTCCAGGACAAACCTCCACCTTGAGGAGAAATTGCAGGACAAAGAATCCAAATTAAACAGGAATGGGTAAGAGACAATGGGGGAAGACCTTTATTCACCAGAATAAAGGTGAGAGGTCCCGGTAATAACAAGGCCAGCTCAGGCCTGGTGGCTCATGCCTGTAATCCTAGCATTTTGGGAGACTAAGGCAGGTGGATCACTTGAGGTCGGGAGTTCGAGACCACCCTGGCTAACATGGCAAAACCCCATCTCTACTAAAACTACAAAAATCAGCCGAGTGTAGTGGCACATGCCTGTAATCCCAGCTACTTGGGAGGCTGAGGCAGGAGAATCACTTGTACCTGGGAGGCAGAGGTTGTAGTGAGGCAAGACCGCACCACTGCACCCCAGCCTGGGTGACAGACTGAGACTCTAAAAAAAAAAAAAAAAGAAGAAGAAAAGAGAAAGAAAAAAAAAGAAATAACAAGACCATATTTTTATTTATATCAAGAAAAGTAACATACATACAACATAGTACCCAATAAATTTGCAATCACACATTCTTTTCAAGATCACACAGAACATTTAATGTTGATTATTTACTGGTAACAGAAAGTCTCGATAATGTTCAAAGGGCTGAAACCAAAGACAGTATGTTACCTTACAACAGCACAATAAAGTTGGTATCAAGAACCAAAACAACAACAACAACAACAACAACAAAAAAGGAAAATCCTCTATATCCTCTATATGTTTGGAAGTTCAGAAATCACTTTTGGCCAGGCATGGTAGCTCGTGCCTGTTATCTCACTGCTTTGGCAGGCCAAAGCAGGAAATCACTTGAGCCTAGGAGTTTGAGGCTACAGTGAGCTGTGATTGCACTACGCTCCAGCCTGGGCAACAGAGCAAGACTCTATCTCAAAAAAGAAAAAAAAAAAAGAAGAAGAAGAAGAAAGATCTTAGGAGGAATTACAAAATAAATTTTAAAGTATTTTGAAGTGAACAATAGTGAAAATGTGATACCTCAAAACTTTCTTAAAAATCTGTAGCTTTAATTGCATATACTAGAGAAAAAGTCTGAAGTTACAAATGTATTCCAAGAATTTAGAAAAACAGCACCAAATTAAATTCAAAGAAAGCCAAGTGGAGTAAATAAAGATAAGCCCAGAAAATAAAGAAATTGAAAATAAACTAGCATAAAATGATAAAAACTATGTTCATCTCAAAGTTATTTTTAAAGAACATCTGATGAAATTCAAGATATATTCATAATAAAGCCTTAGCAAAGTAAGACTATAAGGGAACACTGTTATTATAATGAATGCTTATGTAAAATACACAACAAACATCATACTTATGAGTAAAAATGTTGAAAACTTTCCCCCGAATTAGGAATCACATAAGGATAAATTCTTATGACATTTACTCAACACTCTATTGGAGGTCAAAGTTAATGCAGTAAAACAAGTAAAAGATCTAAAAGGTATAAAGGCTGGAAAGGATGAAACAACTGTCATTATTCATAGTTATAAGTGCATATGTGATTAATCCAAAAAAACCAGATACATTCTTAAAAATCAATCATTAAGATAACAAAGTTGTTAGATACAAGGTCAATATATAAAAATTAATTATATTTCTAGATACTGGCAACATAAAGTTAGAAAACAGTAAAAGATGCTATTTATAGTACCATAAAAAAATCAATGTCTAGGAATAAATACAATAGAAGATGTTTAAGACTCCTACACAGAAAACTATGGAGTGTTTCTCTGGAAAAAACTTTAAAATTCATATGAAACCAAAAAAGAGACTGAATAGCCAAAGCAATTCTAAGCAAAAAGAACAAACCTGGAGGTATCATGTTTCCTGACTTCGAACTACACTACAGGGCCACAGTAACCAAAACAGCATGGTACTGGTGCAAAAAACAGACACATAGGCCAATGGAACAAAATAGTGAACACAGAATTACAGCCACATACCTACAACTATCTGATCTTCAACAAACCTGACAAAAACAAGCAATTGGGAAAGAATTCCCTACTTTAAATGGTGCTTGGATAACTGGCAAGCCATATGAAAAAAGACTGAAACTGGACTCCTTGCTTATACAATATATAAATAATAACTCAAGATGTATTAAAGACTTAAATGTAAAACCCCAAACTATAAAAACCCCAGAAGACAACCTAGGCAACACCATCTGGACATAGGAGTAGGCAAAGGTTTCATGGCAAAAATGCCAAAAGCAATTGCAACAAAAGCAAACACTGACAAATGGAAACCAATTAAAATTAGGAGCTTTGGCACAGCAAAGGAAACTATCTACAGAGTGAACAAGCTGCAGAGTGGGAGAAAATTTCTGCAAACTGTGCATCTGACAAAGGTCTAATATTCAGCATCTATAAGGAACTCAAATTTACAAGAAAAAATACCATTAAAAAGTGGGCAAAGCTCAAGAACAGACACCTTTTAAAAGAAGACATATATATGGTCAACAAGCATACGAAAAAAAGCTCAACATCACTGATCACTAGAGAAATGTAAATCAAAACCACAGTGAGATACTATCTCACACCAGTTAGAATGGTTATTATTAAAAAGTCAAAAAACAACAGATGCTGGTGAAGTTGTGGAGGAAAAGGAACATTTATACATTTTGGTGGGAGCGGAAATTAGTTCAACCATTGTGGAAGACAGTGTGGTAATTCCTCAAACACCTAAAAACAGAAATACCATTCAACCCTTTAATCCCATTACTGAGTATACATCCAAAGGAATATAAGTCATTCCACCACAAAGACACATGAGCATGTATGTCCATTGCAACACTATTCACAAGAGTAAAGACATGAAAACAACCTTAATGCCCATCAATGGTAGACTGGTTAAAGAAAATGTGGTACATGTATACCATGGAATACTATGCAGCCATAAAGAACAACGAGATCATGTCCTTTGCAGGAATATGGATGGAGCTGGAGGCCATTATCCTTAGCAAACTAATGCAGGAACAGAAAACCAAATACGGCATGTTCTCAATTATAAGTGGGAACTAGGCCGGGCGCGGTGGCTCAAGCCTGTAATCCCAGCACTTTGGGAGGCCGAGACGGGCGGATCACAAGGTCAGGAGATCGAGACCATCCTGGCTGACACGGTGAAACCCCGTCTCTACTAAAAAAATATGAAAACTTAGCCGGGCGAGGTGGCGGGCGCCTGTAGTCCCAGCTACTCGGGAGGCTGAGGCCGGAGAATGGCGTGAACCTGGGAGGCGGAGCTTGCAGTGAGCTGAGATCCGGCCACTGCACTCCAGCCTGGGCGACAGAGCGAGACTCCGTCTAAAAAAAAAAAAAAAAAAAGAAAAACTATTAATCACAATACAAACCTCTTTTTTTCCCTGAGTTTTCAATTAAGAAAAAAACTAGATCTGCGTCCTCAGTAATTAAAATAGGGTAAGAAGTAAATTATGTATTAATAATGAGGGAAACACTTTCAATCTTCATAGATTGACTATAATCTGAAGAAAATTTTACTGTAACTTAAATTCTGTTATTTCCTTCATTCTACAAGTACTTATCTCACTTATTTACTTTGCATTTCCTGAATATATGAAGATGCTGGTGCATGTATGTATATATATACACACACATATACACATTCATTGAGTTTCAATTTGCTAATATTTTATTTTGGATTTTAGTTCCAACATGCATAAGTGAAACAGGTCTACAGTTTTCCTTTCTTGTAAGTATGCTTTTTGTGTAGTAGTTAAGAAAAGAGACACTGAAACTAGACTGCCTGGGTTCAAATCTCAGCTCAGTCACCTACTAGCTCTGTTAACCTTGAATTTGTGAAGGCACTTATCCAGAGGGTTGAGCTATCTATAGGTATCTATAGGTACAGCATTGGGTATGAGAATTGTAAAGGAAAATCAACCAATCATGGCATGAGGTGTTACTGGGCATCAGCTATAGAGAAGCAGGGGCATAATCACATTAAGATTACTGACAAGAGCAGAAGGACTAATGGGTAATGGTTACAGCCTGTAAAAGACACCAGTAAAAACAAACTAGGAAGCAGTCAAGGAAGTAAAGAAAATGAAGGGCTCAAAGGATAGAGGTCTGAGGAGGTCAAAGAACAGTTATAGTAGGAGTAACATACTTGAGTTTAAGACATCAAAAAGTAGGATAACTTGAATAGGACTTCTGCTTATACTCAAGAAGAAATACCATGGACCACTTTTCTGCCTGACACATGAAAAAGCAAGAAAATAAATCATCAATGTCTTACAGTACACTAGACATCAGACAATGAAAATCAGAGACATGAAACAAATGAGGTAAGCCCTATGACTGCCCCACCTTAATGACTTAAGAGACTTTCCACAGCCATGATACGGGGGGAGGAAATGCAAGTGGAGATCACTGGACTCTTATTAAGAGGTGGAGCTGAGAAGTAGTGGAGATTAAGCGAACTAGAATTGGCAGGACAAAGTATAGAAGACTGCACAAAGAAAGAACCCTAGGGAATGTGAGACCTGTAGAGGTTCTTCTCGAGTACAATACAGAGTACTGAATAGCTCTTTATTTATTAAAGAAAT